AAAAAAAAAAAAAAACAGCCAACAGCCAGAGCAGGACTCTGAAGTCAGCCTGCCCTGGGTTTACGGTTGACTCTGTTACTCGCTAATGTATGATTTCGGGGAAATTATTTCACCTGTCTGAGTCTCAGTGTCCTTGTCAGTAAAATGAGGTCATAGATAGTTGTGAATATGAAATGGAAAAATGAATATAAAGCATGAGGAATAGTGTCTGGCAGGTAACAGAGGCCCAATGAGTGACGGCCACTTCTTCCCGGCAACAAATAGGTTTTCCACACACCAGCCTCGCGAACACTTACGAAGTAGGACTTACAAACAACCCCAGCACCACGGCCCCCATTACAGCAATCTTCTGGGCACTGGTGCTAACTGCTTGCAGAGCAATTCAAAAGGCTCTAGCCTGTAGGATAATTGTAGTAGAATGGGGAAGGAGGCAGAGAGTGGAGGAAAGAAAACAGAACATGCTTAAGGCAGAAAAATTCACCCAGAGAGACCCTGACAGCAGAGAGAAAAGAAATAGATGGAGAGCCAACAATTGGTTAGTGGAACGACGGGGTGCCTGCCGAGCTTGACAAGAAAAATAAACAACTTGGACCGTTGGAATATACATTTCAAATTACATCATTTTCTTCTGCATTGTGTCTCCAGGCTGTGGGGGAAGATACAAATGTGTCGTATTTATTTATAAAGCTTTACTGGGATTTTTTTAAAAAATGGAATCGAACTTTATGAAGACAAAAAGGGGGGAAACAGCTGTAAGGTGGCTGTTTTCTCACATGATGAATGGGATGGGTTGAGTCCAGGATGGAAGTGTTTATGACAGAACTTTCTTCATACCGCTGCCTTTCTGGAGATATAGATGTGTGTGGCGAGGGAATGTGCATGAAAGACATTTGTAAATTCCAGGGGACTATACAAACGGTTATTATTATTACATATACAGCATGCGCGCGCACACACACACACGATTAGAAATCCTTCTGGATATCGCTGAAATGCCAACTGCAGCTGTGTCTTTGTGGGAGCTGCCATGATGGAGATACTCACAAGGGCAGGGATGTCCTGGCTGAGTGGCACACTATGGGACCGCTCCTGCAGGGATTTATCGACGCCGACCTCGGAGTAGAAGACCTGGAAAAGACACAGACGTCCAGGGTGAGAGTAGGGCCAGCACTCCTCTACCAGATCAAGGTTCTGGGGTTCTAACTCCACTTACAACAGCAGTGGGTTCTGAGGGGCACCGCCTCTCCTCACAGACACCTGTTCTGAGGCAACAAACATCAGCTTGACCTGGCCGGGCTTGCAAACTCAGAAGCCAGAAGGGAGACACGTATTAGTGAAATGGGATAGAGAGGGCTGGACCCAGCTCCTACTATTTTTCCCCAAACCACGACTTTCTCAGGCAATCTTCCATCTTCCCACTTTGGATACAACATGACTTCAGAAACACATCTCTCTGCTTTAAGAAGCCGATGGGGGGCGCCTGGGTGGCACAGTCGGTTAAGGGTCCGACTTCAGCCAGGTCATGATCTCGCGGTCCGTGAGTTCGAGCCCTGCGTCAGGCTCTGGGCTGATGGCTCGGAGCCTGGAGCCTGTTTCCGATTCTGTGTCTCCCTCTCTCTCTGCCCCTCCCCCGTTCATGCTCTGTCTCTCTCTGTCCCAAAAATAAATAAAAAAACGTTGAAAAAAAAAATTTAAAAAAAAGAAGCCGATGGGATGAGGACCTGTGTGTGTGTGTGTGTGTGTGTGTGTGTGTGTGTGTGCGTGAGTGAGTGAGAAAGGGAGGCAGTAGGGAGATGCAGGTCCTGGCGTTATTGGGGGAGCTTCCGTTTGACCTCAAGTGGGCAGCCCAGCTCCAGGGGGCTTGGAGCCCCATAGGAATGTGGTCCCCAGTGTGGCCAGCTCTCTGGATGTCCCCAGAGATTTCAGAACTCTAAATATTTATCTGAAATCTCCTAACTCCTAAAAGTTGACTTGTTTTTAAAAACCCTGTTCAAACAAAACATTTTAGTGAACGGAAATCAGTCAAACCTGTAACCTCTGGCAGGTAGGAACGCATTCTCTGTTCCCTCCCCCACTTTGCCTGTCCATCCCTTTTCTTTAAGTTAGATTTTACAGTATTTTGTATTTATTGACAACATTCCACAGTGACTCCCTATGACTTCCCATGCTTCTGCTATTTAGCCTCTGAACTTGACTGTGGGCAATTGGATAGCAAGAACCACATCTTCTACTTAGTTTATATTTTCCCATCCCTGAGCAGAGTGAGGACTCCAAAGATCCTAACTGCCTTTCAGGCACTTATAAACACCCTTAAAAGGGAAACATTTCCTCTGGTTTCATGTAAGGAGACTGGGGGAGTTATTAATATGGGAGGGTTGATATAAGGAGACCATATATAGACAGAGCAAGGGTGGGAACAGCACCCCCAACCACACCCACTACAGAAATTCCTGTGCCCAGGTACTCACGGTATACCCAATGATGGGGCTCCCAGGATGCCTTGGCATTTTCCACTGGATGCTGAAATCTGTGCAGTTCAGTGGGTACAGCATGATATCGAGAGGAGGTCCAACCTTGCCTGCCCCAAAGCAAAAGAGATTATGTTAGAGGCTCCACGCATCCCACCTTGAGTGTACTTACAGATGGAGAGCATACTTCAAGATGATGCCACAGGACAGAAATGCAGATATCTCTCTGGTATGCCACACCTCTATCAGCTGACTTCACCAGAATTCTGCTATCCCCTCCCAAACTGGAAATGGTAGGGAAATCAGCCCAGCTATTTCTCTCAGTCTCTTCTGTTAACTTTTTTGTTTTAATTTTTTAATGTTCTTTTATTTTTGAGAGAGACAGACAAGAGTGTGAGCAGGGGTGGGCAGAGACAGAGGGAGACACAATCTGAAGCAGGCTCCAGGCTCTGAGCTGTCAGCCCAGAGCCTGACTCGGGGCTCAAGCTTGTGGACCGCAAGATCATGACCTGAGTCAAAGTCAGGTGCCTCCCTTCTGTAACTTCTAATGCCCCAGGGACCAGTAAAGGGAGAGTCAGGGTAGCACAGACCAAACACTTCCAACTTGACTCTAGGAGCTTGGAATGTATTAAAGGAAGATGGTGATTTTATTTAGTAGCATATATATACATATATATATGTATACATATATATGTATATATATATATGTATACATATATATTATGTATGTTATATAGCTATGTCTGTTTATATATATTCTTATTACAGAACATTTCAAAAATATGGTTAAGTGTAAAACAGGGTTAGGAAATTTCAAATGTTTTACTGTATCCTTACCTTAGATTTTATGACTACAAATAACGCATTTTATATTTATAAATATACTAGATGTGGATTGCCAAAATTGAGAAAATACAAAAAAATTCCATTTAGAAATGAGTCCTGTTGAGATGCCTGGGTGGCTCAGTCAGTTAAGCGTCTGAGTCTTGGTTTCAGCTCAGGTCACGATTGCGCGGTTTGTGAGTGGGAGCCCCCCATTGGGCTCCACGCTGGCAGTGCAGAGCCTGTTTGGGATTCTGTCCCTCTCCTCTCTCTGCCCCTCCCCTTGTGTGCTCTGTCTCTCTCTCTCTCTCAAAATAAAGAAATAAACTTAGAGGTGCCTGGGTGGCTCAGTCAGTTGAGCGTCCAACTTCAGCTCAGGTCATGATCACACGGTCTGTGAGTTCGAGCCCCACGTTGGGCTCTGTGCTGACAGCTCAGAGCCTGGAGCCTGCTTTGGATTCTGTGTTTCCCTCTCTCTCTGCCCCTCCCCAACTCGTGCTCTGTCTCTCTCATTCTCAACAATTAATGAATGTTAAAAAAATATTAAAAAAGAAAAATAAACTTTAAAAAATTCTCTAAAAATAGAAATGAGTCCTGTCAACATTTGAATACAGTACCTCCTTTGGTTATATAACATTTTTTGTGTGTGTGTGTATATATATATATATATATATATATACACACACACACATGCACACACACACACACACACACACAAATATATGTACATATAAATTTATATAGGTATATATAATTTTTATTTTTCTTTGTTGTGTTCATTATATATAATAAGTATATATACAGTCATAATTTTAAATCTTATTTTCACTTTGTGTATATAGTATGTGTGTATATATGTGTGTATGTGTGTGCGTGTGTGTGTGTATATATATATATATATATATATATATATATATACACACATACATATATATACATATATAAACTGAAAGTATAGTTGTTCCCCCTTATGAGTGCAGGATACTTTCCAAGACCCGCAGTGGGTGCCCAAAACCACAGATAGTACCAAAACCTATATATACTAAGTTTTTTCCTATAAATATATACTTGTGACAGTCTACTTTAATAATTAGGCACAGTAAGAGGTCAGCAATAACTAATAATAAAATAGCACAATTATAATAGTATACTGTAGTATAAGTTATGTGAGGTCTTGCTCTCAAAAGATCTTGTTGTGCTGTACTCACCCTTCTTGTGATGATGTGAGATGATAAAATACCTACATGATGAGATACAGTGAGGTGAATGATGTAGGGACTGTGACATAGTGTTAGGCTGCTATTAACCTTTTGATGACATGTCAGAAGGAGGATCATCTGCTTCCAGACTGTGGTTGATGGTGGGTAACTGAAACCAACAACATTGAAATGGCAGATAGGTGGGGGACTACTGTAATGCATATGCCACAATTTCCACTGTTTCTCATTCCACTATTGTTAGACATTTAATTTATTTCCAGTATTTTGCTATTTTAAATAAAGCTCAATGAGGGCAGGAAATGGATATGTCCAGTTCAGAACACAGAGACCAATAAATGGGAGAGCTTGAGTGCATGAATGTTCTTCAATTTGATTTCCCACTTGCTAATATGTCCTGATGATCCTTCTTTTTAACAACTGTGTATAATTCTCCAGCATAACAGTTAGGATATTTTGTCTGCAATTAAGAGAGGTCTAATGTGTATATTTATTAGACTGCTGCTGGGGCCTCCCACCAATGTATTTAATAACATAGTGGCTCAAGTGATAGAGGCTCAGTGCCATCACTTGGCAAGAACTACAAGTCCAGGAGGCAGCTGCCACCCCTCCCTGCCCATAGACACCTACCACTGCCACCAATGCTATCACTCAGGGATTTGGTCTTCGACTACTCTCTAGCTCTTGGTTCAAGATCTAAAGTCCCATCCAACTGGCCAGACTTATGTAATGTGACACCTTCTTGGCTCAACCAAGGGGTCAGAAAGGAAAGATCAGTTTTTTTTCTGGTTTCCCAACTGTGAAAAGATGAAGGGAGTCTTAGGAATAGTTCTATCAATCCCATCCATAGTACAGAAGGCTGCTTAGAGGAGAATCAGACCCCAGGAAAAGAGCAGTGGGAGGTGGGAAGGCCTAATACTCTGCTACTCAGAGCATGCATGTACATTAACTGTTACTCTGTCGATTGACATTTAGGTTGTTTACAAAATTTCACTGTTAAAAATAATGCTGAGAAGAACATTTGTGTATGTACCTTTTTGCTCACATGTCCAAATATTTCTAGATGGATAACTATTAAAGATTATGGGTACATCTATCCTAAAACAGTGAAATGCACATTCTTTTCAAGTGCATCTCCAGAATAGATTACACGTTAGGTCACAAAACAAGTCTCAACAAATTCAAAAAGATTGTAGTCATACCTTGCATCTTTTCCCACCACAACTCTATGGCAATAGAGATCAACCAAAAGAAAAAAAGAAAAGAAAAGAAAAGAAAAGAAAAGAAAAGAAAAGAAAAGAAAAGAAAAGAAAAGAAAAGAAAAGAAAAGAAAAGAAAAGAAAAATCAATCACAAGAAAAAAATCTGAAAGACACAAATACATGGAGGTTAAATAATAATGCTTCTAAACAATGAATAGATCAACTGAGAAATCAAAGAGGAAATAAAAAATACATGGAGACAAATGAGAATGAAAACACAATAGTCCAAAATCTTTCAGATGCAGCAAAAGCACTTCTAAGAGGGAAGCTTATAGCAATACAGGCCTACCTCAAAAAGCAAGAAAAATCTCAAATAAACAACGTAACCTTACACCTAAAGGAGCTAGAAAAAGAACAAACAAAACTCAAAACCAGTATAAGGAAGGAAATAATAAAGATGAGAACAGAAATAAATGAAATAAAAACTAAAAACTAAACACACACACACACACACACACAGACACACACACACACAATAACCAGTAAACTGGATCAATGAAACCAGAAGCTGGTTCTTTGTAAAGATCAACAAAACTGATAAAACATTAGCCAGACCCATCAGAGAAAAGAAAGAGAGAGAGATAGAGAAGACTCAAATAAACAAAATCACAAATTAATTAAAGAGGAGAAACTGACACCACAGAAATGCAAAGGATTATAAGAGAATATTATAAAAAATTATATGCCAACAAATTGCCAACCGAGAAGAAATGGATAAATTTCTAGAAACATATAACCTCCCAAAACGAAATCAGGAAGAAATACAAAATTTGAACAGATGTATTACCAGCATTGACATTGAATCAGTAATCAAAAAATGCCCAAAAACAAAAGTCCAGGACCAGACAGCTTTCACAGGTGAATTTTGCCAAATATTTAAAGAGTTAATAATGTATTTTTCTCAACTATTCCAAAAAAATAGGAGAGGAAAGAAAGATTCCAAATTCATTCTACGAAGTCAGCATTACCTTGATCTCAAAACCAGATAAAGACACTACCAAAAAACAAAAAAGAGAGAACTATAGACATAAAAATCCTCCACAAAATATTAGTGAACCAAATCCAATAGTACATTTAAAAAAATCATTCACTACAATCAAGAGGCATTTATTCCTGAGATGCAAGGGTAGTTCAATAGTCACAAATCAATCAACATAATACATCACATCAAAAAGAGAAAGGGTAAAAACAATGTGATCATTCAATAGTCACAGAAAAAGCATTTAACAAAGTACAACATCCATTCATGACAAAAACCCTCAATAAAGTGGGTTTAGAGGAATATACCTCAACATAATAAAGCCCATATATGAAAAATTCATTGCAAACATCAAACTCTGGTGAAAACCTGAAAGCTTTCCCCCAAAGATCAGGAACAAGACAAGGATGTTCACTATTACTACTTGTATTCAACATAGTACTGGAAGTCCTAACCACAGCAATCAGACAAGAAAAAGAAAAGGCATCCAAATTGGTTAGAAAGAAGTAAAACTTCCACTATTTACAGATGACCTGATACTATACATAGGAAACCCTAAACACTCCACCAAAAAGCTACTAGAACTGATAACTGAATTCATAAGGTCACAGGATACAAAATCATTATACAGAATTCTATTACATTTCTACACACTAACAATGAAATAGCAGAAAGAGAAATTAAGAAAACAATCCCATTTACAATTGCACCAGAAATAACAAAATGTATAGGAATAAACTTAACCAAGGAGGTGAAAGACCTGTACTCTAAAAACTATAAAACATTGATGAAGGAAATTGAAGATGACACAAATAGAAAGATATTTCATGC